AAGCTGGGTTAACAATGTTAGTCACCTGAATGGTTATGTCATCTGATTCAGCCAGGATTACTTGATATTTCAGAAATTGGGAGGGTGACAGCCAATGACTTCCTCTCTGTTCCAGTACCGTTGACACAGTGTGGGACACTAACACAGACATTTTCTGTCCCATTGTAAATTTCCTGGCCTCTGCTAGATTTATGATCATTGTCGCTACTGCCCTTAGGCAGGTGGGCCATCCTTTGCTTACCTCGTCCAGTTGCTTGGAGAAGGAGGCTGCTGCTCTTTTGTATGGCCCTCGTTGCTGAGCCAGGACCCCCAGAGCCATTCCTTGTCCTTCATGCGAGAACAACCAAAAGGGCTTCATTACGTCAGGCAAACCCAACTCCAGAGTCCTTATGGGTTCTCATCTCAGCTGTTTGAAGGCTTCACTTGCTTCAGGGGTCCAGACTAGGTTGCCCTTAGTTATTTTCAGCAGGTCATATAAAGGTTTTGCAATTAGCCCATACTGATATATCTATAAACAACACCAACCTGTCATTCCTAGAAAGGCTCGAAGGTTTCTCACCATCTGTAGTTTGGGTGTCTGGCAGATGGTTTCCTTTCTCGTTGTCCCCAGAGATCATTGTCCTCTCGATACTTCATATCCCAGGTACATGACTTTCTCCTGGACCAGCTGAGCTTTCTGTTGAGAGACTCGATACCCATTTAAGTCCAAAAAGTTTAAGAGCTTTACTGTCCATTGGACACATTCTTCTTGTTTTTCAGTAATAATCAGTAGATCATTCACATATTATAAAAGTACACCCTCTCCCAGTGGTGACTGCCGTTGTTCCAATTCTTTAGCTAATTGATTCCCAAAAATTGTGGGAAAATTTTTGAACCCTTAAGGTAACACTGTCCAAATGAGCTGAGTTTTCCTTCCTGTGGTGGGATTTTCCCACTTAAAGGCAAATATCCTTTGACTTTCCTGGGTTAAGGGAAGGCAGAAAAAGGCATCTCTTAAGTCTAATACTGTGAACCAAATTAGACTTTCTTTTAATATTGTTAATAGGGTACATAGGTTTGCAACAGCTGCATGTATGTTTTAGCTATTTTATTTACTGCTCTTAAATCCTGAACCAACCTATGTGTTCCATTTGGCTTCTTGACTGGTAAAATTGGGGTGTTGAAATCTGATTCACACTCTACAAAAAGCCCCAATTTCAAGAAGTTATCTATTATTGGCTCAATTCCTTTTCTATTTTCTAACCTCAGTGCATATTGCTTCCTAATTACTGGGTTTGCTCCTGGTCATAATTCTATTTGAATGGGAACTGCCCATTTTGACTTTCCTGGTGTTTCAATAGCCCAAACTTCTGGCTATACCTTTTCTGAAATTTGATTGACATTTGAACTATCCTGGCTTGGCTCCACATAGCTCACTGCTAAACTCGGAGTTGCTATTAATTGTTCTTCCTTTACCTTAAGTTCAGTTTTACCTTGTTTGAATTCTATTACAGCTCTCAGATTTTCTAGTAGGTCTCTGCCCAATACGGGTTTGGATAAATTTGGTAAATACAAAAACTGATGCACTCCCATTTGTTTTCCAATTTTGAACTTTAGGGGTTTCAAAAGAAAGCTTTTCTGATTGGCCAGTGGCACCCACGACTTAAACATATTTATCACTTTTAGGTATTACTTTCTGATTCAAAACAGAAAATGTAGCCCCAGTATCAATTAGAAAATCTAATTCTTCTTTTTCTTCCCCCAGCCTAATTTTTACCAGCAGGTCCCCCAGGCACTGGCCCGCTGCCCCCCCCTTCACTCAGTACTCTGTAAGCAACAACAGCCCCTCCTGTGCCTGTATTTCCACCTGTTAGTTCAGGGCATTCTTGCTTCCAGTGTCCCTCTTTTCTACAATATGCACACTGGTTCTGACCCAGCCTTGTCTGTCGGGGAGCCAAACCTTACATCTGTTACACAAGGCTCCTACATATAACCAACAGTTGCTAAATGGACAAATCTTAATTCTAGGTCTTATCCAAAGTGGTCTGCTTATAGTTAACTCTTCAGCACTACCTCTCACATAGCAATTCTTAGCATGATAATACCTTTAACTATGTGCTCCTGGATGTTTCAAGGTAAGCAGGGTATATCAGGTACACAATAACTTTTCTGGAAACGAACAAGACAACCTTGTTTCCCTCAAAATAAACAATATTTGGCCAAATACAAACAAAACCAGACCAGACCAGACCAGAGGGGATGTTCCCCTGGAAGAGCATCCTCTCCCATATCCCTGCGAGTGACGGCGTCCCACCTTCGACTTATGGGAATCCAGAACCAGAATAGACAAAACCAGAAACCAGATACAAATACCTTTTATCAACAGGCAGTGTTCTTGTCCAGCCCCCGCAAGAAGCCACTGAAGAAGGGAGCCCCCTCGGGTAAAAAGACTTACCCAAGGGTGCCCAAGGGAGTCCCGTCCTCCGAGGGATTCCACAGCCGGGTGGAGAAGGTGTGCTGCTGCAGGTCGCCAAAAGAATCTGAAAAACCTAGTCCAAAAGACTGCTCAGAGATGGTTTTTTATCTTTAAGCAGCAAGGTATTTGTTTATTCAACGTTGGGAGCAAGCCAGCTCGCGCTGGACAAACTTGCTCGACTTGCAAGTGCAAAACTAAGCCATTTTATACACTTCAGATACATGGTTACATCATTTATTATACATATTAATAAGCAGGCCGGTCTCTGGGCAGAGTCTTTCCAGACATGCACAGTCTTCTACTGTGGGGGTCTTCTCCTCAAGCCTTCATCCCTCTGCTGGTCGCCATGGACATCTTCCTCAATTTGACCTCTTCAATGAGGTGACCTGAATTCTTCAAGCTTGCAAAATCCTGGCTCTGGGTCTTCTAGATCTTATTCAAACGTCTAGTTTACCTAATTTATTACTGTGTGTGTGCTACTCCTATTCTTTCTATAATAAGGCCTTTGGCCCAGTGAGCAGAACAGAACATGATATTAACCAGTGCTCCTAAAATGTTCTTCCAGCAACACAGGTATTGGGGTTTCTTGGCAGGCCAAGATAGCTCAGTTAACTCTTTTAGGCCTGGCTCCTGTTTCATGGGAAAGGGGACTGGCCCTGGGATGCACTGGAAAGGGATGCACTGACAGTCACTGGACTCCAGGGCTTGCCTCACCATCAGGGGGTTCATTCAGGATGGAAGCAGCGGCCAAAGCTCTTCCCGCAGTTGGGGCACTCAGAGGGCTTCTCTTACCGGTGGGTCTGTTGGTGTGAGGTCAAGGCAGAGCTCTGGATGAAGCTCTTCCCACACTCCCCCCACTTGTAGGGCCTCTCCCCTGTGTGGATTCGTCGGTGCCTGACAAGGTGAGAGTTCTGCCTGAAGCCCTTCCCGCAGTCAGTGCAGCGGAAGGGCATCTCATCCGTGTGTGTCCGCTGGTGCAGGAGGAGATGTGAGCTGATCCTAAACCTCTTCCCACATTCCAAGCACTTGTAGGGTCGTTCCCCGGTGTGGATGCTCTGGTGTTGGATCAGGGTAGACTTGTCCGTGAAGCTCTTCCCACATTCCAAACAAGCGTAGGGCCGTTCTCCGGTGTGGATGAGCTGGTGTCTGAGGAGGCTGGAGCTGTTCCTGAAACACTTCCCACATTCCCCACACGTATAGGGCCGTTCCCCAGTGTGGATGCGCTGGTGTCGGATCAGGGTAGAGTTGTCCATGAAGCTCTTCCCACATTCCCTACATGTGTAGAGCCATTCCCCAGTGTGGATGTGCTGGTGTCGGATCAGGTTGGTGCTTGTCCTGAAGCTCTTCCCACATTCCAAGCACCTGAAGGGCTTCTCACTGCAGGGAGGCTGCTCAGGGACCACCAGGTTGGAGCTCCGCCTCAAGCTCCGGTCGCCTTCCTGGCACAGGCTGGGTCTTTCCTCCTCAGAGCACCCTGGGCTGGCTTTGGAGCCCCTCCTGCGGGGGGATCTCTGGGCCTTTTCCTCCCCGCTGCCTTCCTGCGCCGTGGAGCCCTTCAAAACGGCCTCTCCCACCAGGGTCTCACGGGGAGATTTGTCCTCCGGGCTCTCCGTCCTCAGCTCGGGGCCTGGGGCAGGAAGCAAGAAGGACAGAGAGGGGATTTGCCTCC